GACCTGAAACTTTGCCCACAGGAAGACCTCAGCTAAACTAGCTTCCATAAAAAATTTCAGAACTTTTGAACAAAATCTTTCTGAAATATGAATTTTCCAAAAGATGCACGTTTTATACACTATCTATGGAAAGGCGCCTATATCTTGAAAAATTCATATCTTGGAAAAGACTTGGTTCAAAAGTTCTGAAATTTTTTATGGAAGCTAGTTTAGCTGAGGTCTCCCTGTGGACAAAGTTTCAGGTCAAAATTCGAAAATATAAATTTGCTGGAAAACTTGCAGGAAAAATTCACTAAAAATTCAATATCTCAGTCCCAGGGGCCCATGCACCCAAACCAAGATAGACTTTTTCACTGTTCACTAGGACCTATCGAATGGCAATGATCCCGAGCGAAAAGCGATTTAACACCTGGAGAGGTTCCCTCGTAAGAATTCAAGAAATTTCAAGAAGTAAAGATCTTGAACATCTTTTAATTTCTTGACTTCTTGTACTAAGATCTTGGAAATTCTTGGATCATCGTTTTGTTTTACACTCTTGTGTAAATATAAGTGCGAATATTCTCATACTTCGAATAACTTCGAATTTTTTTTTTGATCATAGTTGTTTAAGGAAGAATCTACGACTCTATACGATCGTATATCCAATGGCTACGACTGTCATAAATAAAAACAAAATGTAAAGAAAATTTGTTACTCAAGCTCTTGCAACATCCTGAGTGGCTTCACTCAAGACCTTGAAATTTCTGTTTCCAATATCTTGAGTGAAAGATTCAAGAATCGAAGATCTTGACTTCGTGGTATTTTTCCCAAGATCTGGCTACAAGAAGTTTCACTGGGGTGGGCGTATGTCCATTTATTGAAGAACAAAATAGGCGGAATAATGAGTTTAAGTGGCTACGAAAAATTGGAACGAATTTATATACTTTGATTTCCCGTGCATTTCCCATACATTAAATGATGACGATGGCAAATAATACTGTAAAGAAGCTTTTTAAACCCTTTCTGACATCACCAGTTGATTCGTCTCCAAAAGTTTGGTTTAGGATGACCCTTTCTACTTAATCAGACATATTATAAAGGACTTAGGAGCTTTACAAAAAAATGGCGCCTTCCCTTGCAATGATGAAACATGAACGTATTCAAAATTCGTTAAAATTTAAAGTATTTTCATGAATTAAACAAGGTTAATGCGTTTGAATATATTAAAAAATTTTAACGGTTGAAAATCGTTGAATTTTTAAGGCGTTAAAGTCAGAAATTATCTAAATGTGTTAAAAACCTTTTTGGTTAATTTAATTTTCACGCAAGAAATGCCTTAAAAAATTTAATATTAGACTAAAAACACGTTTTCTTGCTAGGCTAACGCGTTAAACTATTCATTGTAATTTGTTTTAGTGCATTAATGACTTTTAATAGATGCGAACTTTTTCGTTTACTTTTGATATACAAAAATTTACTGGGATGTTCTGCTTCCTTTGCTTAAATACAGATTTAAGTTTTAGATATTATGCATCATGCCAAAACGGTACAATTCTTATATATCTATGAAATGCCCATATTTTACCTCTATGAATAATAATGTAATGACTAATGTTTTACTATTTAATTAGATTTCAGTCGGCTTCATTACACATTAATAAAAACTGAGCCCTTTTTGCGCAACTTCTAAGTATTTCGGTTATTTTTTGCTTTTAGTTTTGTTCAATTTTTTTTGTGTTTTGGTGTAACTGAATTTTGATGTCGAATTTCCAAGACAATCCTGAATTGTTGAGTAGTGAGTAAAAACCTTTGCCGGAATCTCTAAATTTGAATTTGTTTTCTTTTGCTTTAGAGGGTAATATTGATGTTGAAAATCTAAAAAGTTTGTCCGCCCATGAACTGAATGAAATTCTAGAATACTGGCCAAAAGTGAACGAACTTCCAGAAGAAATTCAAACAAATACAATCTATCGTTTATCTTTGAATCAAGAAACATATGGTAAGTTTGATGAACCCTACCGGCACATAAGGAATAACTGTACTCAGGAAGAATTGCCTGTTACATCGTTCTCTTTTCCGTGTTAGATGATTGGAAAGCTAATTCATATCGATGGAAAAGTGGCAAGCGGTACAAGTGGCCGGCAAATGCTAATTTATTCAGAAAAAAATATTTTACCTGCATAAATAGGGATAATGTAGCAGACAAAATATTTGTTAAACATGTAAGGCGCACCAAATTCAAAGATGCAGTGACTTTTCTTCAAACAATTTTTTTCGTGGATTCTGATTCGCCGCAGTGCGTCGAGCACGAATCTGACCTTTTTTAAAAATTTTGACCACGTTTTTACTGTAAGTAAAAAAAGAGTAAGAAACACTAAAACCTTTACGTGCGTTTTACGATGTAGGACGGTGAATGGGCGCTTCAAAATGCATTTACTGGCGTTTTTTCTGCTTTACAAACCCTGGGATGCCATAATCATTCAGAGAAAGACATGAAGAAATGGCTTAGAACAAATTTTAATATTCTTCACCGTGGTATAGCTAATCAGGCCACTGAAACATTTACATCAGCCACAAGTACCAGCATAACAACACCACCTGTTTTACAACCAGTAACAACCACAACATCAGCACCGACAACCCAAACAGCCAATGATCTATACAAAGAAATGAAAGATAAATTTGTGAAACAGCATCTCGATGATGTGTTCAACCTCTTCCTTTGTGCAACGAAAAAACAATTTAATGATAAATATATGATCAAAAAACAGTAATGGTCGCCAGCATTCGTAGCTTACTTGGAAAAATAGTGCTTACCACGAATGATTGCTTCGGTAAATTGGCACCGATTCTGTACTACCAGCAGATTTGAAGCACTAGGAGTTCAGTCAGCACGGTTTTAGGAAAGTTAGAAAACAGAGTTTTTACCGGCTGTTGTATTATTCGACGTGTTCCTACGATCTAACTGAGTTAAATTTCTTTCAGCAAGTGAAACTACCTCCGGACACGTCGACATGTCCGAACGAGTTGTCCAGTGTGCATCTTATTTTCTGACTTCCAGAAATAGCCGTCACGGTTAAATATATCAAAATATGACGCATGGTGGACAACTTGTTCGGACATGTCGACGT